TCCTCTCCCTCTCCCTCCCCCTCTCCTTCTCCCTGTCCCTCCCCCTCTCCCTCTCTCTCTCCCTCTCCCTCCCTCCCTCTTTCCCTCTTCCTCTTCTTTTCCCTCTTCCTCTCCTTCTCTCTACGTCTCCCTCTCCCTCTCTCTCTCCCTTTCTTCTCCCTCCTTTTTTCATCCCCTCCCCTCTCCCTCACTGTACAGAACGCCGCCTCGGCCGACAGCGTCACTGTGGTCGCCTCAGTCCATCTGCCCCGGCTGGCCCCCTTCGCCGGAGCCCCCGCCCGGCAATCTGTTGATAACTCCACCTGCAAACTGAAATTGATCGTCTTTCGCAATGGGAAACTCTTCCCCAGCAGCAGCTCGGGCCACTGGTCCAGCCTTGCGGCTGTCGGGAGGCGGAGGTCGGTGGCCACTCCAGCTGTATTTGCGGAAATAGGTAAGAACTTGGGGGCATCATCCTTACCGTGGAACTGAGAGCTCCGGCTTCAGTTGAGGATGGGAAGGAGCCGCAGGATGCTGGTGGAGCTGGAGAGGGGGTGAGAGGGAGGGGAGCTCGCGAGAGCAAAGGCTCTCCAGCCAGATCAGAGCCAGCTTCTGCCCCTTGCATGCGTGCACAAACACATGCACACATACATACATATACATATGTATATATATAGTATATATATATACACATATATATACATACACATATATATACAGGTGTGCACGCATAGATACATACGTATATACATGCCTGTGTCCTTTCGTTGGCGGTCCGGGCAGCTCGACAGGGGAGTGGGGGGTGGGGGATGGGGAGTGGGGGATGGGGGGTGGGGGAATAACATTACTGCTTGGTAGAAGCCAACCTCTGGCCAACTTTATGCGAAAGGAGCAGCGGTGGAGAGTTGGGAGAAAAGCCGAGCTGCCCTGGGCACCCAGGCTGAGTCTGCCAACCACGAGACTGAGCCAAGGCAGTCCAGGCCGGGAGCTGGGGCCGGGAGCTGGGGGCCTCCTACCCAGTATCCCAGGATCTGTGAGTGAGGCCTCGAATGCCTTGGTCCAAACTTGTTGCTGTTTCTGAGAAGGCAGACGCTGCTTTGGCTCTGCCCGTGAGCCTCTCCCCGGAAGTTCCAGGGGGCTTTGCATTAGCTGCGCCTTTCAGGCTTTTAAGCCTAGGGAGAATGCAAGGACTTCAGTACAAGCGAGGCACTTTCCCAGCTACCCTCCAGTGGCCCTTTCTGAGAAGCAGAGAGAGCTTTGCTGTGGCATCTTAAGCAGAGCCCAGGGAGGTGGGAGGGATAGCATCCTCTCCCACCTACTGGCTGAAGATGAAGCTCCCTGCCTGGCACCTTGTCCGTGGGTCATCAGGGGGCCAGCCTTCTGGCTTTCTGTCCCTGGCAGGCCACGGGGCAGCAAAGGCCAGCGGCAGCATCCAGTTCCCAAAGTGGGGTGGCTGGCAACTGACCCTGGAGCCCCGAACTGGGGGAGGGAGGCGAAGGGGCAGGCATTGGACTGCGTTGGGCTGAGAACCCCTGTGTCTCAGGAGGTCTCTGACCCCACCCCGCCTGCCTGTCTTGCAGATGGGTGCAGCCTCAGCAACCTGAGCACTCCAGTCATCATCGGCCTGAGGCCCTGGGCTCCAGGGCTGGCCCCTGTGGCAGCCACTTGGGATTTTGACCTTCTCGCTGGACATGGAGGCTGGCGAGGAGACGGGTGCGACCTAGTCAGCTCAGCTGGAGACCTCCTCACCCTCCAGTGCCCACGCTGGGGCCACTTTGCAGTGCTCATGGTGAGTGTGTATCTATGACTTGGCAGAAATGCCCGGCACCCCGTTGGCTAGACCAGTGTATTTGAAGGGGTCCCAGCAGTGGCTGAGCAGCCCCTGGACCTATGGTCCCTGAGGCTGGCATGCCTCCCCCACCAAAGGCTTGGGTGCCCCGGGCCAGAGAAGTCCCGAGCCCAGCAAGCAGGGAAGGTCAGCGCCCCCAGCAGCCACCTACCAGCTGAGGGTTCTGTCAGCTGTTAGGCAATTTCTGGCAGATGGCCTAGAGGCTGGTGCTCCTCCCCGCCCCTTTCCCATCTCCCGCTCCCAGGCTCAGGTTCCACAGGCCAGAAGAGGGCCGAGGAGGGCAAGGCCGGCTTGGGGCCAGGGACTGGCTCCCGTCTCTCCCTTCCTCTCAGGGGCCGGCTGCTCTATGCCCGGCTCCCTGTTCTGTGAGGATCATACTAATTAGTCTCAGGCGTGCTGCAATGGTGAATCATTTGCCCGCCGACCAGGAGAAAAGCATATCGCACGCTCTGCTGGACAAGTCTGCTTTGGTCTTGCCGGTGAGCTCACTCCCTCTCTCCCCTGCTCCTTCATTCCCTCGCTCCTTCACTCTGGGAGTTGACATGAGGGCTACCACGGAGGGCAAGGGCCCTTTACCGAAGGGGTTCTTCAGGCAGAGGGTTCTCAGTAGTGGGAGTGGGGAAAGGGGAGCTGGGCTTGCCGGCACACCCACGTCGGGCTGCAGAGGTGGCTCTCCATCCCAGAAGCACCCCACTTGCCTCCTCGGCAGCAGTTATCTGTCCCTACCATGACCCCTGCCATTAACACCCCCAGTCTTACTCTCAGCCCCAGGCTCTGAAAGTGACCACTATGTAGGGGTTCCACACAGGTCAGAGCCTTCAGAAAGGGGGATTGAGAAAGCAGAAGGTGGAGGAGGCTGGTACCCAGGTTAGCCCGGAGTAAGTGGCTGCTGCTCTCAAAATGGAGAGGAGAGGCTGGGGGGCAGAGCTTGGGGATGCCACCTACCACCCCCACAGGCCCAAAGGTTTGCTTCTGAGGTGGGGGAGGGGAGGCAGCCTTTTATCATGGAGGGCTCGACAGAACCCAGGAAAGACTTGGCAGTGGGGTGACTCCACAGCTAGAACCAGCAGAGGAGCTGTGTGTGTCTGTGTGTTCGCCTGTGTGCTGTGTGTGAGTGTGTGCCTGGGTGTGCTCAGAATGCCGATGGGCTCCAGGCAGATACCGGCCCAATACCAGCCAATCCTCAAGTGCCTTCTGGGGGGGGGGGACACTAGAATACAGGCCTCTGCCAGCTCCCTCAGAACTTGCTTCCCTCCGGAATGTCCAGGGAAACCCTTGGTACCAGGGTCCTGAGGGGGCCAAGGAGACAGGCCGAGAAGGAGCTGCCTCCTTCCCTCTAGGGCTGACTGCCCCTGCTCCCCCTTCACCATTGAGTTTGGAGTGGGGGCACCTCCAATTTCTTTAAACCAAGTGAGGGTTGACCTTGCAGGTGCCACACCCAACGTGCCTGACTTTGGCTAGTTCAGTGTGAATTTGATTACCCTGTCTTAGGGCAGAACTGAGCATTTCTTTGAAAATGAGCATTCTCCATCATTAGAAGGGCCCTGCTTGGCCCCAAGGGGAGATGCCTCAGTTTGGAGTGAATGCTGTCAGTGAATCAGCCAGCAAGTATCTATTAAGCCCTGACTATGTGCCAGACCTTGAGATAGGCTCTGAGATACAGAGGCAAGCACACCTAGCCAGAGCCCCAAGGAGCTGCCGTTGGACCAGGGAGGCATCTGTACAAAAAATGGGCACAGACCCAGTTAGGCAGAAAAGCTTTGGAAACGAGGGGATCTGGAACTGGAGGGCATGTGAAAGGTGGTGCTTCAGACGAGTTGGGACAGAGACCAGGGATTCTAACAAGGAACGGTGAAGAGAGAGTGCAATCCAGGCATGGAGAAGGGAGATAACTATTATGTGAGTCCTGTAATGTTCATGAAGAGGGCAATATTATGATAATAATAATCATCATCATAACACACAACTTTTATATAACACTTACTACATGCCAGGCAATGTGCTAAGTGCTTTTTAATAATTATTTCATTTGATCCTCCCAAACCTGGGAAGTAGATGCTATTATTCTCTCCATTTTACAGATAGGAAACCGAGGTAGGGAGAGGTTAAGTAACTTGTCCAGGGTTACACAGATAGCCAATATCTGAGGCCAGATAAGGTCTTCTTGACTCTGGGCCTGGTGCTCTAACCACTGTACCACCTGGCTACCAGTAAGATTAGGAAGTAGGTTGAGGCCAGGTTGTGTGGGCCTCCAATGCCAAACAGAGGCCTGCATATATCTTATACTGAGACAAGAGGAAGCCACTATAGTTTATCAAGCAAGGAGGTGACATGGTCACATCTGTACTTTGGCAGAATCCCTTTGTTAGCTTCCAGGAGGATGAAATTCCATGTGAAGATGTTGCCACCAAGGAGACGAATGGAGGCTCTTGCAATAGAGAATCGAGGGGACTGCTAGGTGGTTCGGTGGATAAAGCACTGGCCCTGGAGTCAGGAGGACTTGAGTTCAAATCTGGTCTCTGACTAGACACTTGACCTTTACTATCTGTGTGACCCTGGGCAAATCACTTAACCTCGACAAAAAAGAAATAGAGAATCGAGAGGGGATGGCAGCCTCAACTCAGATGGCACTATGTGAGCAGAGGGATGGTGGGGAGACAGCAGTAATGAGGGCTTGACTCAGTGGGCCGTGTAGGGGGAAGAAGAGAGTAAAGGAAGACAAGTTTGGGAATTCCAGAAATTGGAAGGATGGTGGTGCCATTGACCAGAATAGGAAATAGACACTTTGTGGGAATTGGACCAGAGGTATTGTGAAGGAGTTCTGATCTGGACATATTGGGCTTCAGATACCTGTGGGAATCCAGCTGAAAGTGTGCCCTAGGGAGCTGGAGATGTGTGGAGACAGAAAGAGACCAAGGACAGAAATGGGGGTTGGGGAATCACCCATGAAGAGGAGTAAATGTGCTAGCTGCAAGAATGAACACCAAACCCTTAAAGAGTTTTCAAAAGAAAAGTATTTGGTCACTTATTTAGTGAAGGAGAGAGCTGGAAGAAAGTGTGGCTTCTTTCAGAGTCTCTGTGAGGTTCACACCCTACAGAGTTCAGACAAGGACATAAGGACATTTGCCTGATTGGTCTCACATAGGCAGTAGGTAGTCTCCAGAGAAGGTCAGTTTGAGATGGACCCAAGTCAAACCTGAGCAGACCCCAAAGAAGTACTGGGTGGGATCTAAGCTTCACTGAAGCCATCTAGATTCCCGTGAGGGTCTCTGAGGTCAGCCTGACCTCTACTGTAAGCTTTTGGGTCTAGCCACAAAAAGCTAGGTTCAAACAATATTAATAAAGTTTTATGAATAACATAATAAAATATTTCCCAGAATTGCCTAGCAGCTGATGAGATCACTGAGAGAGTGTTCTTGGTCCTATTGTGGTCTTGTTTAGTTTTTACTTGGTGCAGCAATCATTAAAAGAATAGCTCTGGAGTGGTCAGTTTGATATCTCAGGCTGAGGTTCACGTCATGGTGCTAGCCTGGCTGCTGTCCCAGATAGCTCTTCCAAGCCCCCTCCATGTCACCAGAACAGACTGGCCCATGTTCCTCTGTCCCCTCTGGAAGGAAGCAGACATTTATTGAGTGATTACTATGTGCTGGGCCATGATAGATATAGCATTCAAGTATTTTTCAGTCACTTCAGTCATGTCTGACTCTTCATGACCTCATTTGGAGTTTTCTTGGCAGAGAAACTGGAGTGGTTTGCCATTTCCTTCTCCAGCTCATTTTACAGATGAGGAAACTGAGGCAAACAGGATTAAGTGATTTGCCCAGGGTCACACAGCTAGTAAAAGTCTGAGGCTGGATTTTAACTCAAGTCTTCCTGACTCCAGGCCTGGCATTCTATTCACTGTGTCACCCAGCTGCCTTAATTCAAATATTAGCAAAAAGAAAGATAGTTCCTGCCCTCAAAAAGCTTGCATTCTAATGGAGGAAGACAATATACAAAAGAGATATGAAATTCATGGGCAGTGGGGGTGAGGATTAATCACGAAGTTTCCGGTGCTGGGCATGTATTTGAGATCTGGGAAGTCAGGAGCAGATCTGGGAATGAAGACTGGCTAATCGGGGTTCCTTCACAAAATGGAGGCCCAGGAGGAACTCTCCAGGGGAAGAGCCAGCATTACAGACAGATATTCCAGGGTTCAGAGGTCAGATGTTCCAGATACTGGAGACAACAGCTGCAATAGTGGTTTTGACATCAGAGAAGTCAGGATCAGTGAGGAAAGCGAAGCCCTTGGGCCTTCACCAGCCATTGGGAAAACTTGTCCCCCTGCACAAAGGTTGTTGGTCATTCTAGGCTCCAGAGGGAGCATCTGTGGGTTCCATCTGTCATCCATCAGAGTGAATGTGGGCTGGCTGTGGCCACCACTCTCAAGTTTCTTAGTGTCTTATTGGACACGGGCCTTCTCACTTTTTGAAAAGTGATTCAGGAAAGCTAGATTCCAGTGTCCATGGGGACAGCCTTGCCAATATTCTCAAGAGTCAAGAGGAGCTAGGTTCAAAGTGTCTTTCCTAGAAGACCGATTGGCCCTTTCCCTGCTTTTTCATCTTCCTCACCTTCCTCCTATTCAAATTTTGGCTCTATAATATGCCCACAAAGGTGTTTGGCCTCATGGAGGATGCCAGTCTGGGGTGCTTGCTTGATGCACTCTCCGTCAGGAAACCTCAGAGGCGCAGCTCTCTACCTAGGCTATTTCCAGCAGTGGGTTGTTAAGAAGCAAAGGCAGAGAAAGTCTGGATTTGCAAAGGTAGTCTTAATATCCACATTTAATCAAGGACTGAAATGTTTGTTATCAGAAACAACAGACTTTCCATCATTCTTTATGCCTCAGGACAAAATGGCCGTCTTGGATGCCTGAGTGGAATTTGTGATGGCTTTTTTCATGT